CCCCAAAACCCCAAAACCCCAATAACTTGCATTTTCAGCATTTTAAGTGTAATAGTAATGGTTATTAAATTTTAGAAAAAGAAAAGTATTAAAATATAATTTTAAAATGAGTAATGTAATAAAAGCTGTTTATTAATAATTTATATATAAAATTGATTTTACTTTCTTCCTAGATAGTATTCTGGGATAAAAATCATGACTACTATATTACATCTCTTAGACTAATTCTAAAATACGTATTGTCAATCATTTATGGTGTCTAAACTACTATGGCTAAGGAAGTTGCTCTGAGTTTATTAAACTTCCTTTCATTTATTTGAAATCTTACTTTTATCGTATAATTGACGTTAGATATATCTCTAGCTCCTATCAATCTTAAAAATTTACTTAAAAATAGAAGGGCTTCTTTTGAAGCTGAATTATCATTTTCTTTGTTCTAAAGCCACTTTGTCATTGTTAATTTATTGGACAGATAATTTGTTTTAAGACTTCTAGAACCAAGGGTGCTAAAAAGATTAATGGTATTATTTTTACATTAAGACATTGACTAAGTGAAGCACGGCTTTAAGGATTATGCTTAAGCATCCAAATTAAAAGATGCAAGCAGTTATCACTGACTCTATTTTTTAAACTAAGCAATTTTGCGATCGGATTATCTACTCGATTTGATCTAATAATCCCTTTAGTATCTAAACCCTCAAATAAATTTTTCCTACTTAATATGTTATATAGCATGCATCCGAGACTAAAAATGTCACTCTCTGGGGAGGCACCTTCATTGTTCAAGACTTCAGGGGCTATATATCCTGGTGTTCCACATCGCTGATTCAGTTTAACTTTGTCATTTATTTTGCATGATAATCCAAAATCAATAATTTTAACTTTCAAAAATTAAGGATCCTCCATTATAACATTTTCCAATTTTAGGTCTCTGTGAAGAATACCTCTACTATGACTTGTGCTTAATCCTTCTAATAACTATTTCATAATATATCATTTCCGGCAAAATCTCTCCTATATGATTTTACTGCATAGTAATCATCACTGCTAAAGGATTAATCTAGATCTAGTTTCTCACTTATACTACTGTATTTATTGACAGTTGACATTTTACCTGCATAGATAGTTTAAATTTTAGAGTATTCTTATTATAAGCTAGGATACATAATGTTTGAATGCCTCTGTAGAGTCTAAATTGCTTAAAAGAAGTTAGATTCTTTATTGAACCTCAAGACTATTTCAAACTCAATGTTTGCAACTCTTATTGTAAATTTCTTCGTTGAATTTTTTCCGTATTTTTTTAATACAAAAAGCTTAGTGTTTTTATTCTATAGTACAATATTTTCCAGTTTATCACATTGATGTATTTCAATATTATTTTTTGAGCAATAGAGCCTAACTTTGTTTTCAATTTATGTAAATGTTCTCTTGACTAAAACAGTTGCATCAAGAAATTTCTCGTTTACTTTAGAGATAGCTTATTAAAGTTGCTGATTTCTATTATTTTATCATGAATTTCAATTTTTTCTATATTCATTCTAACTGATTGCTTTTGTGGTGGAGAGTTTATATAATTTTATATTTTAATTAATTAATAAATACATTCTTACTATTTTAGTTAGTATTTTATCGTGGGGTTTTGGGGTTTTGGGG